CCTTGTTTGAGTTTTAAAGTCATGTTTAAGTTCCTCTTCTTCAGTACATATCAGTTCCAGACATCAGAGCAGACTTCTGATATCTCTCTCAGTTCAAGCACCACTGCAGAACTTTGAGTCACCATATGCTCAGGAACCACCTTTGTCACTGTTACTCAGGCAGCCAGACGATCCTGTCCCAGTTCAACTCCTCCCTATGCCTGTCACTAATATGTCTAAGGTTCCACTCCTCCCCCTGGTGGTCAAAAGTGAAACAGCAGCAGGTCTCAAGTTGTACAGCTGTTCATTTATTCCTATCATCAACACAAGGAAATTATTTACAGTTATACACTGATAGTTATTATGAACAATCGCCAGCAGTGAAGTCATGAGCACATCTAAGAAAATCAATGATCTCACAGAATTTTCATTTTAGTGAGACTGACAAAAATCAAATGAACAAATCCTGTTCTATGGCTGCTCCTAACTTACTCCTTTAGGGATTCTCATTCCCTTTCTCAATGTTGTTGTGGCTTTTGAACTTAAGGCCTGGATGCTGTGGTTGAGGTTTTCTACTCAAAGATAGCACTGAACTACTTGATCCACAGTTTCACTGCTGGCTTTTGTTGGTTAATTGGAGGTAAGAGTCTCACAGAGGTTTCTGTGTGAGCTGGCATTGACCTGTGATCCTTAAAGCTCAGTTTTCTGAGTAGCTAGAATTAAAACTTTGAGTCACTGGTCCCCAGTCGAATTCTCCCACTTTTAGCAATGTGCTTAATCGGGGCACATGGTATTGGCCTTCCAGTTCCATTTAGTGTCTTCTACTTTATCATAATGAAAAGAGAACTAGACAAGAAGTTGAACAGTTGAACAATTATATTTCATGGAAATCAAACTCAACTGTGTGTTGACTAGTGGCCAGTTATACAAACTAAGGCAGAGGTCTTCTAATCCATCATGTGTTCACAGCTTGAAGCAGTACACACTGGTCATTGAGGATGATTTCTGTCTGATGAAATCTACATAATCCGACACAGACATATTTTTAGCAGGGTGTATATTTTTACTATATTCATCATGTGTTTCAATAAAAAGTAGCCTGTCCATTTATTTAAAGGGAAGGATTTCAGGGTAAAAAAGAGAAAGGAACATTAGTCTCTTATATCCCAAGATTTTCAATAACCCCTTTTAGTGCTATGAGTAACCTTTAACTTCTCTGATTAACTCAGAGCATTGGTCCCTAATTGTAGAGTGGACACTTGCTTCTCTAAAACACTGATTTTGCTTTCATAATTCTCAGGTATTATTTGGTGTGCTGTTCAGTTTTGAGGATGTTGGTTCCCATCATATTTCATAGACTGGGTTCAGCCTCACTAACTGGACTTTCAGAGAAAACATGCCCGAGGAGGCAATGCCATGTGGTTATCTATCCTCACGGGGCATATTACCTGTGCTTCCCTCATAGAGAGAACACTGTGTAACAAAGATTGTTGGATTTCAGTCTTTATTCACATACAGGCCCAAGCATCTCTCTCTCTCTCTCTCTCTCTCTCTTTCTCTCTCTATTTCTCTTTTTCTCTCTCTTAAATTCCAAGGGATTTCTAGGCTTTCATGTCTTGAGTAGAGGAGGATGAGCAAACGTACATTTTTTTATTGTATCAGAGCCACATTTAGGAAACATATTTCTTTTTCTAGTTCTCACCCATTTAACATATTGTCACAGTTTTCAGCCAAGTATAAGTAAAAGTTTTCCAAAACGCCATCCAGTTTCTGCTCTTGTTTGGACACAGTAATGAATAAACTCCATGTGGGGATACTCTTCATCCTCCAGTTCCTCATCCTCAATCTTGGTCATGTTGCATTTCACCCCATTTTGGCCTGTTTGTGTCTCATTCATTGAAAATACCATCACTTAGACACTAGAGAAACTGGAGGGGAATATAGGGATATTCACATGTATGGAATGGAGTAGACTAAAGTAAATGTGAGCCCATGGGTTAGAGGACAACTTAGCTTCTGAGGGGCCACAGTTGCAGATAATAAAGTTAGGAAACACACTGCACTGAAAAGCTTAGAAAATGACTGGTGTTGAAAAGAATAATGGTTACAAAGCAAGAAATAGAACCAAGTTCTTTCCTTCATGTGAGTTTGAAAATAAAAAAAAATCTTATGAGGAATGACTTGGAGGGAGGCTTTGGGAAAGAACATCCACAAGAGAAGAAAAGCCAATATTCATCAGGAGTGCACAGGGCAGCAATGCAAGCACCATGGGCTGGTCTCTGCAATGCAGATCATGATTTTTGGATGCACTTGATTTGTTTTAACATGGTATTTTTTAAAATGTTTAAATCCAGCCTGCTACCTAGATAGCTATCTAGATTTTCCTTCCTTGTTTCCTTAACTCCTTGTTTTAATCTATCTTATTTCTTTGTTTTTTTCTACTTCCTTAACTCCATACATTCCTACTATCTACTTCTACCTAGCCAACTACCTACCTACCTATGATCACTGTTATCACTTATCAATTTCTGGGTAATGCTGATTATGATTAACTACACTTTGGGGTAGGGCAGAAAAACAAAAAACTCAGAAATTCGGTGACAAGGAAGCAGTCTTCTATAATTATTTTCATTCTGATTTTTTTTTCTGAGTGACTGACATGCAAAAGCTACCGCGAATATCCTAATGTAGATCATGTCGAAATCAAAATACACTTTTTAACTTTTTTGTTTGGTCGTGGGGCCTGAATTCTGGGCCTGTGTGCTGTCCCTCAGCATTTCAGCTTAAGGCTAGCACTCTACCACTTGAACCACAGTACCACTTCTGGCATTTTCTGCTTATGTGGTGCTGAGGAATCCAACCCGGGGCTTCATGCATGTGAGGCAAGCAATCTACCACTGAGCCACCTTCCCAGCCCATAAAAATAAGCTTTTTTAAAAAGAGTAAGGGAGTCGTTCTGTCTTTGGAAAAGCATTTTTCAAGGACAAATTTGTGATGTGCAGGTCTCATTGGAACACATGATAACTTTAGTTCTGGGCTTTGACATGGATTTCCGCCACCCTGCATCTGTGCTAGCTCTGTTGCTTTGCCTAGCAGTTGAGGATTTGCATGAGGCCAGAGCACAGCCCACTTGGCCTGAGAACTTCTTTAAGGCTGCTCAAATTCTGTGTGTCAGTCAGTCCCAGTCAGCACATACCATGGACATGAGGGCCCCTGCCCAGCTCCTGGGGCTCCTGCTGCTCTGGCTCCCAGGTAAGGAAGGATAGCACTCTTCCACCCTGTGGGAGAAGTCTAGGTCTAGAAGCCTGGGTCTTCATGGAAGGTCTCACAGTATAACTAATTGGGTGGATATTTGTTTTTTGTTTCCATTATCAGGTACCAATTGTGACATTCTGATGACCCAGTCTCCATCCTCTCTGTCTGCATCAGTAGGAGACAGAGTGTCCATCACCTGCAAGGCCAGTCAAGGTATTAGTGATAATTTACAATGGTATCAGCAGAAACCAGGGAAAGCTCCTACACTCTTGATTTACTGGGCAAACCGTTTGGTATCGGGGGTGCCATCCAGGTTCAGTGGAAGCCAATCTGGGATGGAGTTCACTCTCACAATCAGCAGCCTTCAGCCTGAAGACTTTGCAACTTACTACTGTCAACAGAGTAATAGTTACCCTCCCACAGTGGTACAAGCCATAACATAAACCTCCAAGGGAAGCAGAAGTGACAGGCTGGGCGGCCCCAGCTGCTTCTCCGTGTGGTTTCACCTGCTGACAATGCTTTGCAGCTACAGCCAGGCTCTGAAGTTCAGTTGGGGATTTGGTCGAGGTGGTCAGTGACAATCTTCTCAATCTTAACTGTATTTCTTCATCTCAGCCTCACAGTCATCATCCATACAAGGCTTCTGTTCTCATAAAAAGAACACAAATCTGTACTTAAGCGCATCTGGAATATAGTATCCAGGGGATATGATTTAAACTTGGAAGGCATCACAAGAGAGGCATTTGCCCTTCCTTTGTTCCTCTTACACTGTTGCACCCATTTGCTTAGTGAATTCCTTCTAAGTCTGAGATTCAAGGTTCAGCCTGACCTTGTCTTGACCCATCATGATTCCTCAGGTCCTTCTTTAAAATGAGATTGTGCTGGGCATTGGTGGCTCATGCTTATAATCCTAGATACTTAGGAAGCTGAGATCTGAGGATCTGGTTCAAAGCCAGCCTGGGCAGAAAGCTGGGAGACTCTTATCTCCACGTAAATACCAGAAGACCAGAGGGTGGCTGTGACTTAATGTGCTAGAGTGCTAACCTTGAGAAAAAGAGCTCAGTGACAGTGCCCAGGCCCTGAGTTCAAGGCCTATGACTTACAACAATAGGGATTTTAGTAAAGTGCTGAGGACATTATTACTCTGGATCATGAGTAAAGACAGAGAGAGATGAACAATGAAATTATATAATATGCTGGAAAATTTAGGAAATGGAGGTCATGTTGAATGATATGTCAGGATTCCAAAGCCAAATATTCCATGGTTCCACTCATTTGTGGTATGTACAATTAAATAATGATGATAATATAATAATTCAATAATAGTAATAACAAAGCATGAAAGCAGTTCATGAAAGCAAAATGGGGGAAACATCTAAAGGGAGATAGGTGAGGGAATTAGTAAGGGAACAAAGGCACAAATAAATGAAAATGAACTAAGTACAATATATAATATAGTTTGTATGCATATATACATATATTTGTGTATAATGAAGTCAATTACATAGTGTAAGAAAAATCTCAGGTGTTGGAGGGAAATGACAGTGGAAATAGAAAGAAGGTTGTGAAATTTTTCAAAGTACACTGAATTTAGGTATAGAATTACCATTTAAAAATCACCTAATGCTATTAATATATACAAATTAAAATTAATCCTTAGGTAAAAGAAATAAAATGGCATAATTTTGCATTAAAATACTGAGATTCTCTTGCATAATTGTTTGAGAAGATTGCTTACCAAAAATCCAAATGGAAATCTTGCCTGTTGCTATGTCACAAAGCTTCCACGAGATGCCAAAATCCACACTAGGAGAAAAAAACTGAACGCTGATCTTAGAGACCTTGGGAAAGCAGGGGTGATGCTTCCCTTTTGTCCTTAGGAACTTGAGCCTGGGGAGCTCCATTCCAGGCTTTCATGGAACACATGGAAGCTGGGACCATGTTTATAGAAGGGGTCATGTCTCCTCTTGTACAAGTTCCTATTTCATATTTCACTTTGAAAGTGTAATCACACAAGACAAGGCTGACACTTCCACCAGGATTCTTGTAGTGAAATCATCAAGTACAGATCAGAAAGGTGAGGGAATGAGGGCTGAAGACATGCAGCCCTGAAGGGAACATGTGCACACACCATATCCAGTAGTGGGAGGTGAGAGGGGGCTGCACTGTCAATGCTATCCCCAGCAGGGACCCAGAGTCCTCTGCACTGAGCAGGTCACTGCTTGTGCTCAAAAGAACAAATTGGGTCCTGAGCTTCATGATGCTCAGGCTAAAAGAGAGGAAGGGCCTTTGTTCCCTAGAGTTCTTTTTCAGGATCAGAATTTGAAATGATGAGTTAGACAAAGAAAGTATGTTTATCCATGTGTTAATTTGATGCATATGAACAATAGATGTATTACTTTGGCATTCTTTCATTTATGAAGTCTCCTATATATTTTTTTTTGTTGGTGTTTTTTTTTTTTGGTTTGGGTATTTTTTTCCCCAATCGTCGGGCTTGAACTCAGGATGTAGGTGAGGTGTTGTCTCTGAGATCTTTGTGCTCAAGGCTAGTATTCTACCACTTAAGCCATAACATCATTTCCAGCTTTTTTTCTGGGTAATTTATTGGAGATCAATTTATTCCTGACCAGGGTGGATTCAAACCATGATCCTCAGATCTCAGCCTCCTGAGAAGCTAGGATTAGAGGAGTGAACTACCAGAGCCCCACTTCCTCTATGTTTGAATAGGACTGGAATTAAGAATCTGTCCTGAGGACCCTGCTGAATCTCCTCTTTATCCCAGCCCCTCAGAAGCCAAGGGAAGAAACCTGGAACATCCTTCCCACAGACTCAGCCCTGCTCTGAAGTCTAGGTCTCTCAGACTTTCAGCTTGCTTACTTTCATGGCCCAGTTTATAAACACGTTCCTTTCCTGAAGCTCTTCCTTCTATCAAGAAGATCCACAGAATGTTCTTTTAGCCTCCCCCATCTCCCTGTCCTCAGCATCATCTCTCAGCCAGAAACTACATCCCTCACAGCCCAGAGCAATGTAAGCCTGTCAAGATCTCTGGATGGAGGCCATTGTCTCAAACTCTTCCAAGTATTCCAGTACCAAAAGCCTTTGTAGACTTGAAAACTGTAAGACACATTTTCACAGTTGCTAAAGCCAGACCTGGAGCATGGATCACGAGAATTTATGTGTTATTGTTAGAGCTGTCTGCTTTTAACTCCACACAAGTAGATGTCCTTGGTCATTCTATTAATAATTTACCAGGTAGCCTTTATAACTTCACAGTACCCAGCTGCCTTTTACTTGTTTTATTTAGTACCAGCTTTGTCCTACAGCTCATGGTAGAGAGAGCAAATCTCTTCCAACAAAGACAGTGACAAAGATTGAGAGGACCATATGAGAAAAATAAAGGTTAAATTTAAGAGGAATGAGGGGAAGAGTATAGCTTTCGGTAGTAGGTTCTTACATAATCATAAAAAGAAGGAAGAAGAGCATTATAAAGTCCTTTCAGAAGCAGTTGGGTAGCATGTTTTTGCAGAGACCATTCATGTTTTAGGAGGAGAAGATGATCAATCAAGACTCAGATGCAGTTTATATACTAAATTGTAATGAAGAAGCCTCTGATTGGACAATGACTTATTTGTGGGCTCTGTGACTTGGAACAACTGTGTTATCTCCTTGCACCCACAGCAGATGTTTCCATTTGTGATGTTAAGTTCCATGTGACTACTCTGCTCATTTGTCATCAAATGTGACATCCTGCACTATACAATGCAGTGTGTCACCACATGCTGATCTCCATGTTGTGCGGCCTGCTAACTTAACTCTAATTCTACTTCCTATTGTCAGCTGTGCTTGATTCCTCATGCTGAAGATGTCCTCTCCAAACAGTGTGGCTGCAGTTTGTCCTCACTCTGACCACAGAGCATTTTATTCTTTCTGTGTCTGTTTGGATCAAATGGCCTAAATGCATTCACTAAAAAATGCTTTAGTACCAGGTACCACTGGCTCATCCCTGTAGTTCTAGCTATTCAAGAAGCTGAGATCTGCTCAAGTTATTTAGAAGTCAGCCTGGGCATGAAAATCTATGTGCTGCTTATCTCTAATTTACCACTAAAAAGCTGGAAGTGAAGCTATGGCTCATGTTGTAGAAAACCAGCCTTGAACACAAAAGCTCAGGAAACTACCTAAACTCTGAGTTCAAACCTCAGGCCAAGCACACAAAAAAATTACTTACAACCTAAAATGTATTGGTCATGAAAGATAATGCAGGATTAAGGAGAACGGTGAACTTTAAGTAGAGTTCAGCCATTGGTTAAAGAACATATTAGATACAAAGAGGGGAGGGGGAGGGAGAGAGAGAGCAGCTTCCAGTAATTAAGATAGAAAACACAGATGTCCTCACACAGTTTAGCGAATGTTATATTAAACAGAAATGTATGACCCTTACAAAGCTAGATATGGAGCCACATGTATCCCTAGGTATAAAGAGGAAATACCTTTTATGATCTGTCCTAGAGAAAGGCAATAAATCAGAGCATTCAGAACAGAAGGAAATGAGTCATCTATATGGAGTGAACAGGGCACCAATACAAACAGCGGAAGACACTCTATACATCTCAGATAAAAATAGTTTATTTCACATATAATACTTTTCAAGAGTTTTATCTCTCATAAAACTTTTTGAACTCTATATATTTCTCAATCTGGATAATAATGATTATTATTAACTATATAATGTGGTTCAGGGAATTAACCTGAATGCTCTAGAATCCTGTGTCACAAAATTCACAGATACAAAATGCAGGAAAAGTATAAAATTGACCTCCCTTAGGAATGCTTATCTCTCAGTGACTGGCTTACATTAACATAAATAGAAAAGAAAATACTCACAAGTCTTGGACAATATGGGAATTAAAAACATTTATTTTTCTCACAGGACAGCATATTCTGTTCTCACATCACCAGGGAGAAACACATTATCTACAAGAAAATTGGACATAGGTGGT